GAAGAGACACCCCACGCAATTGATTGGTTGTCACTGCCGGTGTGATACGATATTGGAGCTGCGCTTGGACGAACCCAAATGAAAGATGCAGCGTTTGGGATGATTTCAACTTTATCTCTCCCACCACATTGGTTCCAGAGAGCCATGAATTTATTTCGGAGATAGAGAGAAGTGTGGATTTTGGCGTGTTCATCAAGCGATGAAACATATCACCAACTAATGGACTATGCTGGCTCGCTCAATTTGGTTTTGGTTACATTGGCGTCATTATGATTCCGTGTTTGTTAATCTTATTTAGAGGGATGTAGTGGCATGATAAATGAATTGGATGTTTTTGGATGGTTAATCGCAAAGCGAATTAATAAGGCGATTTCTGTGGATGATGCTTTGTAGCCTTTCGGGATGATATGAATCATTAATTTTCATGGCCTTGATGTTCGTGGGCATATAAAAGATTTTGTTGATGAGGCATGCAGTCGGATGTATTTTCCTGGTCAATCTTCAAAGCTGCTACAAATTCGATATTAATATCAGTTCATCAAAAATCAAAAGGCACTGAACTATTGGTGATACTAGCAATAGGTTGTGACCCCTATACAAATTTCAGTACGCTAACACGCGAGCTCGTCAGCGTGCTCGCCCACGAGTTCGTCGACGAACTCGCAGACGAACTCGCAGACGAACTCGTTTCGTTCCAAATATGCAAATTAGCTACGAGCATGCACGCGAGCTCGTTGGCGTGCTCCAAATATGCAGCTCGTCACTGGCCGATAAGCTCGTTGGCGTGCTCGTTGGCGAGTTCGTACGAGTTCGTACGAGTTCGTCGACAAGCTCGTCAACGAGTTCGTACGAGTTCGTCAACGAGTTCGTCAACGAGTTCGTACGAGTTCGTCGACAATCTTGTGGAAAAAAATGGCTGCTAGCTTAATGGCGTGCTCAACAGCATGTTGGCATTAGGGACTTTTAGATTTGCGTGGACTGAAACCTGTGACGTCCATTGAAGGCAGTGCATAAAAAGGACGTCGACCGTAGCAATCCACATTGTCTTCGTGCAAATCTAAAAGTCCCTATTGAGAACTAATTTGTGTCTACATATAGAGGTGAACTTGATGATCCTGTTGAGCTATTGGCATGCATATATATTTATCTAACTTATCAACCTTCCAATATCCTGTTAACATCTGCAGGCTGGCTGTGCAGGGACAATTCAGTTGGCAAGCTGGTGAAGAATACAGTGATCCTCTTTAGAATAAGGGAAAGTTAAAAGCTCATTACTTCTGGGATATCAATCAATGAAAACACTAATATATCAAAGTACAGAAAGAAAAGATATAACATAAAATATAACTTAAAAAAAGTATCTTTTTATTAGAGTCAATACAAACCCTGTAAAATACATGTTACCTGTATGCAGGGTTCACAACTTCACACAACGATATGAATGAATAAATGATTTCCAAATTATATAATTACACTGTATAATGAAATTAAATATGTGAGTAATTACACTGTATAATACTCTGCCTTTGAAGAAATATTATTATCCATTTTGGTAATTATTCCATCATTCTAATCACTCATAATATTACAAAGATCCAAACTAATAAAGCGGTATTCATACAATAACTATGTAGCATCCCCCTTCTTGTCAGTGTATTCACCAACCCAGGGTACCAAGTAATGATACATGTACATATACTATAGGATCTCTAGAACAATCCCTTCTTTATATCCGCTAGCAAACTAGTTTTCAGTATTCAGACAAAATGCATTAATGTGCTCTCATGTTGCCTAAATGATAGGGTTTGTCAGTCAAGATACAGGAATATTTACATGAATATAACCTTATCACATAGATTATATCTAATGTTACTTTAATGAAGTGAATATACTATGTGCTATATAGATAGAGAAACAAACTTACCAATATATGAAAAGATATCTCACTAGAAAGAGAATAAATACTTTATCTCATTAATCATTACTCTACACTTCTCTTTCATAAATGTATAAGAGAGGTAGGCCTAACTGTTGGCCTATAAATACACAAGTAGAACATTTAGTTATAAGGTGTGAGGAATTAGTTTTTCTCTTACCTAAAACAAAGGAGCTGCAATACCATTCAAAACCCATGTCTGCTCTCTACAAAAGCAAGATGGAGAAAGACTTGCCCAAAGTGGCCTATAACTAACACATCAATTCATTCTTATCAGGAATGCTACCAGTGGTAATTCCACAAGAGAGAGTAAACAAGAAAGTGAGAGTGGGGAGAAGAGAATTAGATTATATCTAATGTTACTTTAATGAAGTGAATATACTACATGTATGTGCTAGATAGATGGAGAAACAAACTTCCCAATATATGAAAAGATATCTCACTAGATTTAGAAAGAGAATAAATACTTTATCTCATTAATCATTACTCTACACTTCTCTTTCATAAATGTATAAGAGAGGTAGGCCTAACTGTTGGCCTAGTCTTACACAAGTAGAACACAAGTAGAACATTTAGTTATAAGGTGTGAGAAATAAGTTTTTCTCTTACCTAAAACAAAGGAGCTTCAGCATGCAGTACCATTCAAAATCCATGTCTGCTCTCCACAAAAACAAGATAGAAAATGGCTGACCAAATCTGCCTAACAAGTCAATTCATTCTTATCAGGAATGCTACCAGTGGTAATTCCACAAGAGAGTGTACACAAGAAAGTGAGAGTGGGGAGAAGAGAGGAATAGAGATTTGTGTGTAAGGAGGGGGAATCCTATGTACATAAGGAGAGAGCAAGTTAGAAACAGGGAGTTGACCTCGAATCAAGGTCTGGGTGTGTGCTCTTATGTAATACCTGATAGTGACATTTCAAGGTGTTAAATATATGATACAGTCAGAATAAATGGCAACCCCCCCCCTTCCCAATCTGGTATGCTGCAAATAAATGTTTCAAAGTTTCAAAAGAATTTAATTAAATTTACAAGTAATTTGACAGGTTACTTCAGCATGAAAAAGCTATTGTTTCAATTTCAACACAAATTTTCTGAACTTTCAATGTAATTGCATATGTTCTGACAAAGAGGCTCAAAAATGTATCAAAATAATAAAGTATGCATTTGTTTACCTTAATTATTTCAGGTGAGAGATATCTTCAGATCAATATTTTTTATTTTAAAAAAAATTACATAAAAAGGATGCTGGTGGAGACAAGAAACTAGGAAGTAGGAACTCATTTTCCTTGGCCCAAGACATTTTAAAAATACATGTACATATATTAATAGAATAAATAAAAGAAATTGGCATCCTGAAGGGAACTTTAAAATATATACATGTATACCGTGTGAGTCAAAAAAAAGTTTACAACTAGAAAAATGCTAATTATTCTAAAAATCATCTATGAACAGTAAATTATTATACATCTTATGAAAGAGTGTTTTATTCCAAATCGTTTGGTATCACTTTTGTGTGGTATGTGTTCACGCTTGGATGAACAGGAGGCATTGTTTGTGAAAGTGCAAAAATTGACTTGCGCCAAAGTGATGCCTACAGTATGTATTATGTTGGGATCGGCGGAGTGAGAGAATGAATTGAATGTATCAAATGAAATGCATTGCATATGTTTTTTGCAGAAGCAGAGTCACAAGCAAACACACTAACAATGTTCGTTGATATTTTATATTCAATTTTTGATATGTGTGGCATGATTAATTTTGTTTGGGATGTTGTGTTGATCTGTAATGACTGAAATAATACCCATATCGCAATTGTTTTATTCAAACATCACATTAGCAACTTTGGCGCAAGTCGATTTTTGCACTCTCGCATGCAATGCCTCCTGTTCATCCAAACATACCACACAAAAATGATACTAAATGATTCAAGATAAAACACTCTTTCATAGAATGTATAATAATTTACTGTTCACAGATAATTTTTAAAATAATTAGCAATTTTCTAGGTGTAAATTTTTTTGGGACTCACACTGTATACCTTACTGTTTTCCTGGGAGCTGGATCACCTGTTTACCAGCGAGATCGTGGCGAGCTCTGGGGAGCTCTGGGGAGCTCGCCACGAGCTCCTCAGTTTAACCCCGAGCTCGCCACGAACTCCCCCTTTTACCCACGAGCTCGCCACGAGCTCCCCCTTTTACCCACGAGCTCCCGAGTTTACCCCCGAACTCACCACGAGCTCCCCAGTTTAACCCCGAGCTCGCCACGAACTCCCCCTTTTACCCACGAGCTCGCCACGAGCTCCCCAGTTTACCCCCGAGCTCGCCCACGAGCTCCCCAGTTTACGCCCGAGCTCGCCACGAGCTCCCCCTTTTACCCACGAGCTCGCCACGAGCTCCCCCTTTTACCAACGAGCTCGCCACGAGCTCCCTCTTTTATCCACGAGCTCGCCACGAGCTCCCCAGTTTACCCGCGAGTTCGCCACGAGCTCGTGGCGAACTCGTGCACGAGCTCGCCAAGATTTTGTAAGATCGTTACAAGCGTCCTGGGAGCGTGTTACGAGCTTAAAGCCTAAAAAACGATCTTATTAAGCTTACCACGAGCATAATACGAGTTCGCGACGAACTTAAATTTGTATAGGGGGATGCACCTGAAGGAGTCTTTAATTTGGATACATTGTGTGTCTCTTGCCGTTGAAGTACAAGATCACATCTTTTCAAGTCGAGGTGGTTGTATGATAGTTGGTGTATTTCCAATTTTGTGGTTGCTGTATATTCACAGGATCTCCAGCGAAGCCAAGAACAGGAGGAAATTTTGTGATTCCTTTCATTTTGCATTGGTTCTCTTGGTGGAGACCAAGAAAGAGACCTCAAAAGCAGAGACGGAGACTTGTCTTTCTGGTTGTTCGACACATTTGCTCCTGCAACAATTGCTCCGTGGTTATTTCCTACACTAACCCAATTCATAACTTCAACCCTGGACCCAACATCGCACCTGACCCTAACTCTTAACCTAACTGTTAACATAACTGTTAACATAACTCTGAACCTAACTTAAAACCTAATTGCAACCCCAACCCTAACCCTATACTTCAGAAAATTAAAGCCTGAAGCAGTTGTTGCTGGAGCAAAGGTTGGATCACCACTCTTTTTACATTTCTCGCAAAGTGTTCGTTGGCTTTCAGTGCCCTTCTTGCTTTTGAACCTTGGGATGTTAAGTGCATTTTCCAAAGAGAGATGCGTTTCTTACTCATCTCTCTTTGCGTTGGAAGGATGATGATATTTGTTGCATGTCATTTGATCGATGAGGCATCCTCCCCTCTCTGCTTGAGAGACTTGTGAATATTACGACCTCAAACTCGCTCACTGGCTGTCGATCCTCGCTATTCCAGAGAGCGAGAGCGAGTGTTTCAAACAGGATTATATTAATTCAAACAGGTTTGCACTTTCTACTGTACCATTGGAAGTCATGTGGACTAAAACCTCTCTGTAGATGAATTAACACCTCAGACTGTGCGCTCACATGGAAATATATAACCTTCTGGGTGATATATGAAAGACAGCGAGAAATCAACTGTTTGACGTCTTAGCCAGCTTATACCTTGAAGGAACATGCTCTGGTAAACTTGTAACACTGCCATGGAATAAGTCAAATCACTGTGAAACATACAATGATCATGGATACATATTAATTGTTGGATGGTCGTGTGCCGCACATTTGGAATACAAAACTTTTGGATTACGTCGCTGTGAATGAAGAATTGGACACTCTTGAAAAAACACATTGCAGTCATGGAGCCCAACCAGCGTTTTGTGGTGGATCGCGATCGTATCCTTTCGGCGAGAGGACATCGTTCCGTGTCGGCGTATCGGCTTAAGCGAGTCGCCTCGGACATCGACCTGCAGAAGTGCCGATGCCAGTGCACATGCGGACAGAGCATGTTTTCATCGATGTCCACAAGTATGACGGATATCATTCAAAGGTAAAAACTTATTAATTTGTAGATTGAGGGGTAGATGGATGTTACACAGACACCATGGCATGCCCCTCTGGTAAAACATCTTCGTTGAGTGATACATGAGTGACGTGACATGTTTGCTACCAGAAAAGAAAGCAATGTCAGTATTATGATTTATCCTTTTCAATGCCATAAAGTTTTAGTTTTTACCAACAAATAAAACCACAAAAAAAATTCAGCCGTACTATTTCAAAGTTTGCGTTTGTTTTTCACTGATGAATTCTGCTTGAAATATCTGTTTAAGTTTTAAGGAGAAAGCTTTTGCTATGTTTTGTGTAATAAGCATGGCACACAAATGAAACACTTGGACAGGATTTGCTACACATGGCACTGTACAATATTCAACATGATAACAAGTAAAAAGAAAGAATTTTTTCTTCTTTTAAATGTTATATTGCTGTGCATGATTATTTTAATGTTAGTTGAGGACATATAACTATGTGATGTTGTGAGTATGGCACTGAGGAAAAAGTTACTTTCGTCAAAGAGAAAGCATGATGTTTTAGTGTACAAAACTATTGGAGATTAAATTGGTGCCAATTAATTACATAATAGACAAGTGACCAGTCCAAAATTAAAGATTCACTCATCATTATTGTATTACTTGTTTAATTTCTCTTCAGCTTTCACATATCTAGAAGAGAGAAATAGAGAGACAGAGATAGAGAGAGAGAGACAGAGACAGAGAGAAACAGACAGTGGCAGAGAGAGAGAGAGAGAAAGAGAGAGAGAGAGAGAGAGAGAGAGGGAGGAAGAGTTAGAGAGAGAGAGAAAGAGAGAGAGAGAGGAAGAGTTAGAGAGAGAGGAGAGAGAGAGGGAGAGATAGTTGAGTTCTCATTAGGCAGTGACAGTTATATAGTAATTGTCATGAGCCTTCATTACACTGAGTCACCCATCGAGACCCCTATAGCATGAAGGTTATAGGCCGCTTACATATCGCATATAACGATCACTAAAACTATGAAATCAGTGAATGTGGAAAAAGGTATTGGATATTGGCGTTGCTCACTGATTTATGCTAATGTGGCTTCAACACCAGTGATCTTGGATCCAATGTTTTCTACACATGCACAAAATAGCAAGAATCCCCACCCTCAATGAGAAAAAGAAGAAAATGAATGGCCAAAGAATAAACTGGCAGAGTGTGATTTTAAGTCTACAAATCACAATTTCAGTGATCTAGATACCCCCGCCCTCCCTTTTTGATTTTGCTGTTTCACAGCAACAAGAATTAAAGACTGAATACTTCTTAAAGTATGTGAAAATGTTTGTGTTTTTAATGTTAAGAGAGAAAGAAATATTGTCCAGGTGCTAGTGAAATATGTATATCACTGTGAGTGAAAATAGATTGCGGATGCTTTATATAAGAATAACGTTTTATATAAGAGTGATGTCATAGTCACTAAAAATAGACATTTCCATCATCGGATTCTCACATGAATGACCTAATTTTCCCCATCGTTTTACCTGCGGTGAAGCATCTCCCAAATCCTTGATAAATGACAAGAAACTTTCAGGATTTGGTTTATGATTAATTGAACTGTGAGGATAGACAGGGATGTCCCATGTCCCCACCTATGTTGAAGTAGTCTGTCAAACCAGACCCTCTTGTTTACCATCATAATGCACTGTACGTTCCATAATTCGTCCCTGTTTTCACGAAGTGACGGTAGTGAGGAAAATCGTAACGCAAAGTGGATGCAATTTTTTTTCACTGCCGTCACTTCGTGAAAACAGCGACAAATTTATGGTAAAGATATTCCCTTTGGAGTGGAGATGGTGCACACATTGTGAGCCATCATGAATCAAATCAAAGGTATACATGATAATAATTATTCATTGTTCAGTAGGATATAAATCCAATGCTGTTACATGTTTAAAATATTAAAGATAAACTTTAGTACTGGTAATGCGATTGCATTGTGAAAGAAAAGGTGTGGAAAGGATCAGAAACAGTTGATCATGTAGCATGTAAGTATTGATGTGCACTGCAAGGTTCTGGAGTCATCAAAATCATAATAAATTTGACCGAGTCTTGGTAAAGTAACAAGCACTCACATAGAAAGCTATATATGGGACAACACACATGGTGTCGGGGCTAGTACTTTCTTGATTTCCTTGTCTTTCTATGCTCATTACTCAGCCAGTATACATTTTCTTCCAAAATTGTTTGGCACATGTTATTTATTTGTAATCTTGAACATTCAGTGTAAGTTTCGTTTGATTCTGTGAGAATTTTTTTTTTTTTTTACCAGTACTGGAGTTTATCTTTAATATGAGAGCTGTCTATTGTCGTCGTTACAGGTTTTTTCAAAGGTCCATTCCAACTCCCTGGTACTACATAGTAAAAAGCCCTGCTCATTTGTGTAAAACAAATTGTTATCATAAGCTACTCTTAATATCTAAAAGCATATACATGCAGTTGCCAATATGCTAGTGGTTTGATGTTGTTGTTTCGTTTTTTTCTTCAATATTAGGAAATTAAACCCTTTGTGATATACCAAGAAAGGAAATCAAATCATTTCAAGATATTTTTATCTGTAGGATTAATGATATTGGATGCCAAGAAGGAAGAAAGGTGATATGATACCTGTAGATAAAATTAATCTTTTGTGAAGACACTCCCTTCCTTATCACACAGAGCTGATTTATTGTTTCAATAAAGATTGTTTTGTTGCGTAGCCAAACCATTCAGTGTCGTTGGTAGCTATATTTGGGCCGATTGGATTGTAAGACATTGCAAAAATAGAACTCTGTTCAGTACTAGCCTCCCACGCCCATGAAAACAATTCCTCTGCCAGACATTTAATGTACCCTCTAATTAATAGTGTAAGAAAGAAAAGGATAGCTTTTAAAGCCCGTCTGTACTAGTTTGGTCAGGGGAATTAGACCTCTCTGCAAGGTCACTGACAGATGGTTATCTCATCAAATCAGCTCTCAACTAACATAAGAAAAAGGGCATCATGGGGACCAACAGGCACCGATTAGGCATTGTTTGCTATATAGAGGGCGCAAGTAGCTATAAGTAGAGGGGCTTAAACTTTATATTTGTGCTTTCACTTGATACTTTTTTTATGAAATAGAAACAATGATATGCTTGAATGATTTTCTCAACAAAAGGTGATTGTTTAGATGACATTTACATCAGAAATATATATAAGTGTAACAAAATTCTAACAAAGAGATAACTAATTAATGTAGATATACTTGAAATTGTTTGTACAGAACCAAAGTAGTGTTTAATAATTCTGGGTCAAATTATATGAGTTAACGCCCTACTGGCTCCAAACAGACCAATTCATCAAGTTCATTTTAATTCATTTTCTCTTCAATATGTATTTTGAAGCTTGGTGAATTAATGTGAAACTAAACTATTAAATAGGTAACTCCCTAATTGTAAACAAGCCAACTATATATATATATATATATATATATATATATATGTTTAGTTTAATTGTGGTTATTCAACAAAACCATTCAATGGATCAGTAAACATAATCACATCATTTTTTCAAATTATATGAGTTAACGCCCTACTGGCTCCAAACAGACCAATTCATCAAGTTCATTTTAATTCATTTTCTATTATCACATCTCTCTTCAATATGTATTTTGAAGCTTGGTGAATTAATGTGAAACTAAACTATTAAATAGGTAACTCCCTAATTGTAAACAAGCCAACTATATATATATATATATATGTTTAGTTTAATTGTGGTTATTCAACAAAACCATTCAATGGATCAGTAGACATAATCACATCATTTTTTTAATACACGGATGTTTTGACAGTGTCATAGCGGAACCCTTCATCGTACTACGTGAGTAAACAAATAAAACCAACCACGTAGTATCAGTAGCAAAAACAAACACGTATAGCAATAATATTATTCGATTTTGATCAAACCTGAATGAGTGGTTATTAATTATGCCTAGTAATAATAATGATATTAAAACGGTGCTCATAAAGCGCTTTCCACCAAAGTTTCTAAGCACTATACAAACAAAATACAATGACAAACAATGTGTTTGGTATATTTGGATATCAAGGTTATGGTCAGGAATTTTTAAATAGTTTGTGTCATTAGACTTGGCATATCCAAGGTGAGTAAAAAAAAATGACTTGGACTGTGCATGTGCAGTTTGCAAATTCATGTAATTTGTTGTTTCTCGAGTGGATCATCATCTTTTGGAGCCAGAATTAAGGGCTTTACTTCTGTTTTTAGGTACTAACGCCCTCCCGGCTGAAATAAGTCGTCTGTTGTGGGCCAGAAGGGAGTTAACTATGTGTCAAAGTATATGACTTAACACCCTATGGTTCTGAACGGACAAAGTTATCTTTGTAAAAAATAATGTGGACTGAAGTGCTGTTCAATATGACGGGATGAGGTGTTTTTAAAGTAACAATATTCTTTCTACTACCTTGGTATAAGAGGGGAGGATGTCAAACTTTTTAAAAAGAAAACAAAAATGTTTAAATCTACTTTTTCCTTCATTTAGTTATTCCTATCAGTATTAAAGATAAATCATTTAGAACAAAACTTTTACAAATTCATTAGTTAGGTAGGGCTTTTCTTCCTAGCGAGTGAGCTGCTCTAAAGGTTAATTTGGCATGGAGGACTTGAGCCAACCACCCAAAACAAGTATTGCATATTGATTCAAATCATCATCCCAATTTTGCTCTTGTGAAAGGGATTTTTCCCTGCTCAATAGGTGTGTTTCCATTAGTCTGAGTTTTCAAAAATAGCGCATTCATTGTAATCCATTGATTTAAACTTTATTTTTGTCTATTTAGAGCCATAAAGGTATTATCTAAAATTATTTAAAACAGAGATACCGGCCTTTTGGCTCTAAACAGATAGTATTTTGTATAATGGTTCGAAACCAGAGTATCTGTTCGGAGCCAGAAGGGCATTAACTCCTTGTCAAAGTATTTGAGTTAACGCCTTCTTGTCCAAAACAGC